AGGAGGAAATTGTTTTAGTTTTCACATTTAAGTCTGTGATCCATTCTGAACTAATTCTTATATATGGTATGAAGAATGAAGGCAAGTATTTTCCCAGCATCATTTATTGACAATTAGCTAAATAACTACATGAAGAAACAGGAAGAATAAGTGAAAAACCTTGTACATTGTATGCCATGGTTTGCATGTGTTCCCAAAATTTTGTGTATTAAAAACTTAATCCCCAAAGTAATATTTGACTTTTGAAGTAATGATATTTGGATGTGGAGCCTTTGGGAAATAGTAAGGATTAGATGAGGTCACGAGAGTAACACCACCCATAGCCATTTGTGGCTTTATAAAAAGATGAGAAACCCAAGCTAGCACACTTGCTGTCTCACAATGTGATGTCCCCAGTCCTGCTAAAATAAAGTGAGAAGGCTCTTCTTACCAGATGCCAAACAGTGACTGATACCATGCTCCTGGACTTCCCAGCCTTTGAAACCATGAACCAAATAAACTCCTGTTCTTCATAAATTACCTGGTCTTGAGTATTTTAACAACTGAAAACCAACTAAGACATTATCCTAGAAAATACTCAAAGATAGGTAACATGTAAAATTGAGAGCTGGCATTAATCCTATGATTTAGACAGAGGCAAAAATGAGAAACAGCTAAACGTAAAAAAGTTCTTAGAAAAAAGAGATAAAGCTACTACTATTTTTTATTGTTATACTTTGAATATGAAATACCCCCACAGGCTCCTATCTTGAACACTTGGTCCCCAGCTGGTGTCATTATTTTGAGAAGCTATGGAAACTTAGGAGATGGAGCCTACTTGTAGAAAATGGGACGATGTACCTGGCCTCAAGCTCATTTCCTGACAACTGTTCCCATCATGATGTCTTCCCCAAGTGCATGGAACCAAGTGACAACGGACTGAACCCTCTGAACTCATGAGCTAAAAGAAATTTCCTCCCTAAGTAGTTTCTGTCAGGTATTTGGTCACAGCAATGAAAAGACAACTTGATACATTCATCTAATTAAACTTCTAAAATTATGTATACATATTTATAGTAGAATAAATAATTTGTCTAGTCTTCCTCAAGGTTCCTCAAACATGGTTTCTAAAATATCTGTAATTTCCTGAGTAACAGAAGTACCTTTGTTACATAGGCCCATTGGCTCAGACATGAGTTTATGCTAATGTGTTGACTCATGGTGGACCTCTAAATAGCTTCAAGATAGGAATGGACACCAAGAAACCAAACCCTGTGATAGGCCTCTAGGGAGGAAAGGGGGACTGGAGGTAGAGTTCAATCACATGGCCAGTGATTTAATCAATCACTAGATAGGGACGTAACAAAACCCAAAAACTCTGGACACTAAGACTCAATGGGTTCAAACCCCAGTGCCAAAAAAAAAAAAAAAAAAAAAAGAAAAAAAAAGAAAAGAGTAAAAGTCAATGGGGCTTCGTATCAGTGAAGAGATGTATGTGCCAGAAGGGTAATGAACCCAATATGCATTTGAGATCTACCAAACAAATCCCCCCATCTCTTCATTTGGTAGGTCCTAATAGGTATGTTTATTAAAAAAAAAAAAAACTATAATCCTCAGAGTGGGCGTAGCTCAAGCAATAGAGCACAAAGCCCTAAATTCAAACCCCAATAGCAGAGGGGGAGAGGAAGATAAGTAGGTGGCCTGAAGTCCCCCAGTTGTGGCTGTTGTCTGAAATAGGAGCAGTATTGCTAGGGATCATGCCTTTAAACCTGTAGAGCCTAACACCGAGTTGTTAGTCTCAGAAATGATGTGTGGCTGAAACAGATACAGTAGGCTCCCTTATCCATGGTTTGGTTTTGTACCATTTTAGCTATCTAGTCTTCAACCAAGGTCCAAAAACATTAAATGGAAAATATCAGCAATAAGCAGTTTATACATTTTAAGTAATTCTTATTATGGCATACTTACTCCATTTTATTATTAGTTATGGTTTCTAATCTCTGTGCCTAATTTATAAACTCACAGTTAAACACGTGTAAGGAAAAAAACACAGTATACATAGTTTTGTACTAGTTTCAAGCATCCAATTGAGGTCTTAGAATACATCCTGTTAATTGGGGGGGACTGTATATTACTGTTTTGACTTTGCTTTTAATTTTTAAAGCAATGTATACTCCTCAAAACCTAAACAGTAATTACTAACAGTATCAGTCTTTTAAAAAGTAAAAGTATGACAAGGGCAAAACTGGAAGAATGGACGCTCAGCAACCTGAATAATAAGCTGAATGCAATCAAGAGACAAAGCAATATATATATCAAAGTAGTTTGGAACCAACAAGGACTAGCTTTAGAAAAAGGCCTTACCACAGAAGTGGACTATTCGTGGCACCATAGGCAATTGACATTATAAAGCTTTACAAATTAAAATAATCTGGGTAGATAACTGATCAAGGAAAGGAAACAATGACCAAGAAAAGTTACAATCTCCTGAGCAACCCCAATGGCAAAAAAAAAGTGCCCAATTTCTCTTATCATTAGAAAAATAAGGCAGGATGTGATGACTTGCACGTGTAACCCCAGCTACTTAAGAGGCAGAGATTAGGAAGATTGAAGTTCTAGGTTAGCCAAGGCAAAAAGTTAGCAAGATTCCATCTCAATCAATAAACTAAGTATGGCAACAACTGCCTGTCATTTCAGCTATGTGGTATATAGTAGGAAGGAGGATTGCAAGAGGCAGTAAGGAGGATCCGATCTGAGGCCACCACCCCAAAAATATGAGACCCTCCCTACTTGAAAAGTATTAAACAAAAAAGGACTGGAGATAAGGATCAAGTAAGCGATAAAATACGTGCCTAGCAAGTCCTGAGTTCAAACTCCACTCCCTCTCCACCCCCCTAAAAAAAAAAAAAAAAACAGAAAAATTAAAACCACAATGCTCCCACTTTCAACACTTCAACACACTATTTGAAATATTTCTATCTAGTACAATTAGACAAAAAAAAGAAAAAAAAAAACAATACAGTAATATCCATAACGAATGGTTCCAAGACCTTCAGTGGGTGACTGAAAACTATGAATATACTACCAGTTCTGGCTCCCATGTACATTTTTTCCTATGCATACACACCTATATTAAAGCTTAATTTATATATTAGGCATAGTAAGAGATCAACAGAAACATGGTAAGATAGAACAATTATAACAATATACTATAGTAAGTTTGTGACGATGGTGTCTCTCCCTAAAATATTTTATTGTACTGTACTCATCTTTCTATGATAAGATACATGACACTATGCAGAGAAACTGAAGATGCAAAAATAACAGCAGACATTTAGGAATGAAGTGATGAGAATCTGAACAAACAACAGTATAAATCTCAAATACCATAAAGGTAGAACTGGTAGGATCTGGTGGCAGAGTAGAAAAGTAATAAAATGGAAAAAATACAATCAAGTAGGATTTTCATATTTTGAGCTTAAAAACAAACTGTGACAGTCATAAATAACAAACTAAACTGGATCAAAGAACTACACTGGAGCCTTTTTGGAAAGCCACACTGCAGAGATGGTACCTGGAGGTATGAAAAGATGTAAAGAAAAGTGATAATGCAGATAGAACAAAGACAGATTAATCTTAAAAAGATGCCCAACATGAGAAAAGATAATGTTCTTGGGCTGGTGGAGTGGCTCAAGTGGTAGAGTGCCTACAATTGCAAGGCCCTGAGTTCAACCTGCAGTACCACCAAAAAAGAAAAGACAATGTTCTAAGCATAATTAGGATGGTAAGTCTGGGTGTTGTGGTGCAACCTGAGGCAGGAGGATCCTGAATTTGAAGCTAGCCTGAACTATGTGGAGAGACTCCATCTCAAAGAACAAACAAATAAATAATAAGACAGAGTAAATAATAATAATAAAAACACCACCATTACTCACAACAGTGATGACACTAGGGATAGCAGAGTGGCTCAAACAGTAAAAGCTGCCTAGCAAGCATGAGGACCTGAGTTCAAAGCCCGGAATCACCAAAAAAAAAGAAAGAAGATACAGAATCAACAGAAGCATCTCTTGACAGATGAACAAATAAAAACCCAAAACTATTTGAACACCAACATGCCCTCAAAAAATTTCAGATTTCAGTATGTACAACTTTTTTGTACATTTAAAGTAATTTCAACATAAAGTTCAATGTTCAATATGTTGAATAATATCCCATTGCAAAACTATGCATGTATGTATATACATACATACGTACTGAATATATAATATGGTGAAAAATATGTGTTAAAAAATAAATTTGGGGACACTGTGCAGGAGACTGAAGATGGAAAAACAAAAGCAGAAATATTTAGGAATGAAGTATGAGAATCTAAAAGAGAATGGTGTAAGTTCCATTGCAAAGTACATCCTGCTAGTTATGACAACATAGATGAACATCATGCTAAGTGAAATAAGCATGACACAGAAAGACAAATACTTCAAAGTATTCATAAAGGACTATAATGATTGCCAGGGGTGGGAGAAATTAAATGTTGATTATAAAATAGAAAGGTTCAGTTATATAGAATGAATTTTAAAAAAAAAGGACTTCATGCAGTTTGCTTTTTAGTTGGGCATTTTAATGGATTAGGCTGTCCATACAGCAGCAAATTCACAAATATTAGACATAACTTTAAATTCATTTTATGCATCAGTTGGGTATTACAATGGGTTTTTTTTTTCTTCCTCAATTATTTATGAGCTGTCTGTGTATGTTAAAAAGAACACTCTAAACATAAATATAAATGCATAAAAGATTCCCCTTCTGATAAATTGTCCAATTTGCCTACAATTTTTGATCCTGAAGTAGTTACAGAAAAATGAATTTACTTTTAATTCACAGAATTAAAAGCAGATGTGGCTTGTTTTACAGTAGCTTACATTATCAATGACTACAGCATCCCTTAGAACTAATGTGTTAAATCCAAAATTTGGCCAGTGTCACTTCCTTGTATCTGTAAGAACAGAAAAACTATTACCTACCTTTCAGAAATCTCTTGCTTAAACTGAGGAACTTCAATTGTTGAATCAGTATCCATAAAACCAAGAAAGTCTTGTTTTATATTAATGAGAGGTTTCTCCAAATCCATGCCTGATGTTTCATGACCTCTTGACATAGAATCAAAGTCACTTGGCTGTATCTCTGACCCCTGGCCTTCTGTGACACGAACCCGGTGACCAGGAGAATCAGGAACACTACTTCCTTCATGGTCAGAGCTGTTCTTTTGTTTTCCATCTCTCTGGGGCTTACTATTCAGCCCATCATCCCGAAAGCCTTTGGCAAATGGATTGTAATCTATTTTCAACTGGGTAATCTGAATGTTCTGATAAGCTGTTACTGCAAAGAATTCAGTCTGTGGGAAGGTAAATGTGTGGACACCAGGACCATTTAATTGTATCACTTCTGTAGCCTTTTCTGCAGGCACCAAATGAAGCCTTGGCAGGTAGCGATGCATAGAGTGCAAGATAATATGTCCTTCTTGGTCCAGTGTATTGTTGGTAAGTTTGAGTTTATAAAATGATACTGGTTGATGCATCCAATAATGACCTGTGGAAGGAGATTCTGGATGAATGAAAACCCTCCCCAAAACATGAGGCTCAGCCTTCCCACTGGGTTCCCACCAACGTCCATTCCACTTATAACGATGGTTATCTACAGGAGATATATCCATGACAAGGATATACTTTAAATTTGAATCTAAACCTGTTATCCAATAGCGACAATAAGGAAACATGCGTCTTCCCTGTTTGGTCAGAATCATCTCTGTGCTTCGATTATGGAACTCATTCCACATACTATTGTTATCGAGGGTAACAGTGATTCTTCCCACGGTACAATCAGCTGGAAGGCAAATCTTCCCTTTAGATTTTCCTGGTGATGATACCTTACTAGCCAAAGCACAGGCATCTCGATTAGTAACCAAAATTCCCTGATCTGTTTTGCCATTTCCAGGCTGTTTTAGGATGACAAAGAAGGTGGGTGCTGCTCCTGCCACGGTAGCACCATCTTGATTAGCCAATATAATCTGCTGTTTCTCCTCCATGATTCCAGTAGGAAACTCAGTAGTAAGGTAACTGTTGTCAGCATATAGTCACAATGGCCTTCCCATCCTAAAAAAAAGCAAAGAAACTTTAATCAAGTGAGCATTTTGTGAACAAAATTACAAGAATGATTATGCCATCCCCAAAATATTATTAAATTCTTCTAAGACACTGCTTAAGCCCTTCTTTCAATTACTATGAGGGTATTCATCTGGGACATCTAATCATTCCTGTCATTTTTTATGTTCATTTTAATGTAAATCCTATAATCCCAAGAGAAATAAAAATGTATATTCATTTTTAGAAAAACTGTATGAAAGCACACAATTTAAGGAGATTACATTTAAAAGAATCTCAACACCATAAATTAATTTACCAGAAAATTCCTTTACATAGCAAATTCTTTTAGGGCGGGTAGGAAAAGTTTCTATTTCTATTCCAAAGAGCTTAACTGTGCAGAATTAACTCTTTATGTGAAACTGATATGCTTTCATAAATAAATAAAAAGCTATCTTATTAATATACACATTTAATGAAACCATGTCAAGCCAGGCACAGTGGCTCAAGCCTGTAATCCTAACTACTTGGGAGGTGGAGATTGAGAGGATCCCTGTCCCAAGGCCAGCAAGAAGCAGCTGGGCATGGTGGCATGCACCTGTCCTCCCAGCTACATGGGAAGCCTAAGTAGGAAGATCGTGGTCCAGGCCCTCAGTCACAAAAAGGAGACTCTATTTGAAAAATAGACCTAAAGTAAAAAGGGTAAAGGGGCAGGGCAGAAACCAACCATGTGTCAAAACAAGTCAAAGGAACCTACCTGAAAAAAAAATAGGCTTATTTCAAAAAAAAAATTTCCAAATGGATCTAATATTTAATTTTTTAAATTCTTTTTTGTTATTTTTTTGGAGGGGAGGGCAGCACTGGGGTTTGAACTCAGGGCCTGACTCTTAGCTAGGCAGGTGCTCTTAAAGCTTGAGCCACACCACCAGTCTTTTTCTCATGTTGGGTTTCTGTTGAGATAAGGTCTCTCAAACTATTCTGCCCAGGGCTGGCTTCGAACAGTGATTCTCCTGATCTCTGCCTTCCAAGTAGCTAGGATTACAGGAGTAAGCCAATGGCACCTGCTTTTTTTTTAATTCTTAAAAAAGTCCTGACAAAAACTTTTTAGTAAAGACACCAAGCCAAGTGGGGGGTAAGGGAGGGGGTGGGGGCAGGGCAGAGAAATGACCCAAGCCTTGTATGCACATATGAATAGTAAAACAATAATAAAAAAAAAGACACCAAGCCAAATACCAGTTAGACAAAAATACATTTTTTTTTCGTTTTGAGAAAGGGTCTCAAAAACAAGTTCAATTATGACATAAAAATTTTAAATCTGGCCAAAAAAAGCAAAATCAAAAGACAACTGACAAATTGGCAAAAGTTATTTGCAACTTCTATCATAAATAACTCATTCCTATCACCTGCATTGCAAGCATGAATCCCTAAGTTCAAACCCAGGTCCCACCAAAAATAAAAAAAATTAAAAAAAAAAAAAGTAATTTCTTCCCATCATAAAAAGAGTTCTCAATAACAAACAACTAAAATAAAATGAAATCATGGCTAGAAAGAGCAAGTACTTATAAATACATATACAATTTCAAAATAATACAAGTACATATTAAAACTATCCTGAAATGCTACTTTTTTACTTGGACTGGGAGAAGTGTTGGAAAGAGGTATAGATTAATTCACAATTTACATGAATTACATCTCCAAAAGTTTATAAAGAAATCTTAGATTGTTAAATTCAACTGAACTGTTATGCTAAATCAAAGCTACCACTCTAATTAGTTTTTACCCAAAGAAGATTATACATAACTCACTTCTATGCTAAGTGGGTCAGTGATCTTGATAAGTCAAATTCAGCTATACTGGTCTTATTGATTTTACCTAAAAAGTCTAATTTTACTTTTCATCAAAGCTACTGACAAGCAGCAAAAACCACCTGATCTGAATTTTATCCCTTTTTATGAATTGGTAATAAAAATAATTTTTAAAAATTTTACTAAACTTAAAATATTTGTTAATCTGAGCATAACAGATATTTTCTAAACCTTCACTCAGGAGGCTGAGGCAGGAGGATCACGTTCCAGACCAACCTGGGCTACATAGAAAGACAGTGTCCAAAGAAAAAAAGAGCTAGGCACCCCTGGCTCACACCTGCAATCCTAGCCACTTGGGAGGCTGAGATGCTGGTTCAAGACCAGCCCGGGGAAATAGGAGACCCTCATCTCCAAAATAACCAGAGCAAAAATGGACTGGAGGTGTGGCTAAAGCAGTAAAGCACTTGTTTTGCAAGCACAAAGCCCTGAGTTCAAACCCCAGTTTTACAGAGAAGAGAAGAGAAATCACTGAGTATAGCTCAGTGATTGTGTATTTGCCTAGTATGTCCAAGGCCCTGAGTTCAACCCCAGCACTAAGAGAAAAAAAAAAAAAAACACTATTTTTGTGAGCAAGTACACAAAAAACTCCAGTGTATCCAAAGGACTACAAAGTATTAAAAAAAAAACACCAAAACCTTTAGCTATTTCAAACCTATAAAATACAGGAAGTAGTTCAGAATTTCTTAAATGTTATCTTCTATCATATTAAAATCTTGGGTTATTAGATCATCAGAGGTAAAGCCAGGGCAGAAATGTTTTTAACCAATGCTTTAAAAATCATTATATATATTCGGCTGTGAAACTTCAAAGATCTACCTGACAGAAAATTACACACTACACTTGGCCTAAATTTTACAGTGGCTTTATAGATACATATATATCTAGTTTTTACTCTCACCTAAGCAGAAAATTAAGTACAGAAAAATCAAATTGCACTGGCAGAGTGGCTCAAATGGTAGAGTGCTTATCTAGAAAGCATGAAACACTGGTTCAAACCCCAGTACCATCAAAAAAAAAAAAAGTCAAATTGCCCTACTTCAACTTTGTAACACAGGCATCTAATTTTTTTTAAAGTAAAAATGTGCATGGAAGACAAGAAACGTTACAACTTTCAGATGAGTTGTACATTTTTTTAAATAATTAGCCAGATTATTCTATCAGTTCATTAAAATACATAAAGAACCAAAGACCTAATTTATAACTCAAAACGCTCTCCTTCTTGAGCTATAATAAAGGCTACTACTTTAGCAACAAGGAACTGAATACTTATTCCACACCAACCAATGCCGAGATTCCACCTCACCATAAGCATATACCTATTCTTTGGGGTTACTGTATTGGATTTTCTGATCAAAGGGTAGTCAATTAAGAATATTCAGCTGTTTCAGACACACAAAGACCACTCTAAAGTCTAAGACAACCATAAGCCAAATGCAAAAATCAAATGTACTTTAGGAAGCACTTAGCTACTCAGGAAAAAAAATCTTCCAGCAAGATTCTAAAAATGCTTTATATTTGGCTCTCTAAAAGCGTTAATAAAGATCACGATATATTTATGTATCTCAAAATCCTTAAGTTTACAATTTTTCAGTTCAGCTTTCCACCATCATTTACTAGATGAAATAGCTATTATAAAGAGCCAAGAAAGTATATTTAGTTGCAGAGAGAAAAAAAATACTCTCAGCAATATAGTGAAAAGTCACATCAGAACACATACACACAGTCGCTCATAGAAAATGGTTTAAAACAAGTTCCATAAATTTTTAGTTTCAGAGTCCCTATTGTAACCAGTGAATCTTTAACTACTATAGTGCTAGAGGCATGGCTCAAGCGCAGAGTGCCTGCCAGTCTAGCAAGCAAGAACTAAGCTCAAACCCCAGCACCCTCCCCCCCAAAAAAAGGTTTTAGTGAGATCCTCATACAACCCACAAAGTACATTAGTTATCTATGTAGCTGCCTAACTCAATGATTTACACACTGTGCCAAAAAAATTTTCTTAACTTCACTAAATACTATTACTTTTAAAACACAAATATTCAAATGGCGGTCAACACATTCTAAATGTTTCCTGAGTTCTTCAAGTTAGCAATACTTTCATACAATAAATGAATTACTGTATGGCAGACACTAAGATGTTTGTTCCTTAATATATAATCCTCCACTACAAGGAAATGGCTAAGTTAAATCGCATTTTTGAAACTCAAATTTTAAGAGAATTAGGTCGCTCTGATTTCAGTACTGACCAATATACATCTGACCCAGAAATTTTAAATTTTTCAAAAAACCATAAAGACAGTCAGAAAATATGACAGCAGTGGCAAAGACTATAAAACAGCCAACTACTTTCTTAATCGCTCTTGGTCATTAGTTTAATTTTACTAATTAAACAAATGGCACTTACAAATAAGCGCTCACTTTGGACCAGACAATAGCTGGGCATTTTATCCCAACCTCACAGGGTAAATTTCAAAGTACTACATGAAACACTCCAAAGGCCCCATTCTCTTCCCAGATACCAGTGTTTCTTACTTCTGGCTTCAAGAGCACTTTCCATTCCCAGAAATCAATCCTAAAGTACAACTGAAGGCTAGCAAACTCTCAGATTCCTAAGAATTGCTAAAGTAGAACGTTTTTATGGCAGAAGTAGACAGCAGTCAAATCTGGATTAAGTATACCATAGTACCCAGAGCACTACTCTTCTCTAGGGCGTCAGCTTATGTTTCTGTAAAGTGGCTCCAACCCACTCTACCCACAAAACTGCTGGAAACAAAAACCTACGGCTGCAACAAAGACTACCGCTGATCCGATATCCTTAAAAGTGAACCGGCCAGAAGGAGCAGTCGCCGTCGACTATCAAGGCCCACGGTCGCGGCTTTTCGACTGCAGAGAACAGCTGGCCAAGAACCACGTGAAAAAAATGCCGCAAGGAAAGCTCTTCCGGGGAAGAGTCATCCCGACAGATCACGTGCAGTCAGCCGGAACCCAGAAATCGGAGGGCCGGACCCAGCCGCACTCTGTTACCGTGGAGACCACATAACCAGCCGCCAGGCCGGCCCCTTTCCCAGAAGCCGTCACGCCACCCCAGGCACCTTCCCCGCAGCTTAACCGCGGCGTCGTGCCCAAAAAGATGGAGCAGAGCAGGCAGTTTACCAGGAACTCCGCTGCCTAAGCCTGACGAGCTCTACAACATGCGCGGGCAGCGCGCGGGTGGGCTCTAGACTTCTCAGGGACCACGTGTGCGCTCGGACGACGCGAGCCTTCGGAGAGTGGTCGTCCCTCCGAAGGGGTGCACTTTGCTTTCTGCAGTTCAAACATCCTTCACCACTCCCTGATTCCACCCTTTTGCCAGAGGCAGCGGCATTACCAGGGTTCGAAAAGGAAGGCAAAAATCTTCACAGCAAGACACTGCCACTATCCTCTCTCGCCCTAGTCTGAAACAGTCCCCAACTTCTCCACTCATGAAACATAGGTTCCCCAACTTCGTTTAGTTGTGTTCTGAGTGGATTATTACTGTCCCAGACTCACCTTCAACTTAAAACTGAGACCTAGTTGGTAATTTAACAGAAAAGGGAAGTTCCATAAACACAAAACTAGCCAAAGGCTGCCCACAAAGGGAAAAAGAAAATAACACCTGCTCTTCCCACCTGTTTCCCCCACCCTCATTTTTGCACTTTATAAATCACAGGTCCTTTGTTTACAAAGTTCACACTACTTTACAACTCATTTCTTCGCCCTCCTTATTATACTCGCAGTCTTGCCTCAAACAATTTGACCAGAAATTACATGCTACAACAGACGTTTGTTCAGGTGTCAAAACGCTGCACCCTATTCTTTAGAACAGCGACGTTGGCGCCGTTTCCCTCGGAAACTTGGAACCCTAACACCTGAGCTATAAAATGCAAAGTGCGTAAGTGCAGCTGTCGACCTATAACCCAGCTCCCGGCTACAAATCATCACGCGGATCGTACCATGCGGTGCGGCACCCCACGCACGCGAGGGCAGGGCCGCGCCATGGGCGCTTCTCACCCCGCCCGCCTCGTGGCCGCTGTCTCTGGCGTCGATGTTCCAGTTAGTTCACTGCGCGACGCGGAAGTGAGGCAGGGGACGAGAGCGAGGTGACATGCGCAGCCTCGCTCAAGGGACCAAAGGCGCGCGCCAAGGGCGGCCCCGCGCAAGGCCCAGCCTGCCGGAGCGTGCGAAGATCCCTCAGCGAAACGTTGCTCAAGCGGTTCAAATACACAAAAGCTTCAAACTCTCGAAAAACTCCAATCGGGCAAGTACTAAAGCGATGCCCTCCACCCAGGCCCGAGAGTTACCGTGCGGGGCGTGGCCGGCCTCACTCGGAGTCCTTCATATCCCGCTGGGGGCGGGTTATTCTGTTCGGTTCGCACACCGTGTGTCCGCTCCAGCTGAAGAGCCTGCGCGCGCACCAGACGTCCACGTCACCGCGCACGCGCTCCCACCCTCTCGGAGCCCGCCGCGCAGGCGCAAAGGGAGGCGCGAGCAACCTCTCCCTTGCCCCTCCCCCAACGCCAGGAGGCAAAACGGCCCCGGAGCAACGACAAGACCCTTGGGATCCGCCCCCGGAGCTGAATCCGCAGCCTTTCCTCGTACTAGCCACCCAGAAAAGGCTACTGAAGCTTCTAGAATCGAGAAAGGCGAGGCAGGAAAGAAGCACCCCGTATCCGCAGCCTCGTACTCGAAGCCTTCGTGAAAATTCTGAAACCCCTGCCCGAAGGACCTTTCGCCACTGTGCTTTCCGCCCTTTCCCTGGGCTCCAGGCGGCCCCGCCCCTGCCACGCCCAGCCCCACCCACGCGACGCTCCGCAGACCCTCGGCCTCTCCAGCTCATCAAGAGAATCCCGACTTCCTCCCCAATGGTCTGTGGGCTTGGAAAACCTGAAGTAGAGACCTTAAGAGAAGGATGGACTAGTGTGCAACACCCACGAACGAAGAACAATAGGAGAACAGGGAGGATATGGAAAACCTCACTGAGGAATTGGAGAAAGAGGAGTTGCCACTAAATTTATAGGAAGATGTAAGATGTATTGATAAAACAATAAACAAGAAAGCAAGAAGTTTGCGTGAAAGTATTTGAGTTTTAGTGCCTCGATCCTGTGTATTAAATTTTTGTGTCATTTTAGGGAGGAGGTGGCACTGAGGTTTGAACTCAGGACCACATGCTTGCTAAGCATGTGCTCTACCACTTGAGCCACTCCACCAGCCCAAATTTTTGTGTCTTCAAGACATTTAAATTATAGGGTGCAAAGAAAATATGACCGACTATCTTGTGTCAGGCAGTTGCTGAACTAAGTCAATGAACAGTATTTCTCCCAACCAAACATCAAAACTTTGTTTCTTTCTCCTCTACCCCTTACTAGCTATCTTCTATGCTGCTCACGTGCCAGTAAGAACAGTGAGAAAAGAGACAAAAAAGAAGTAGGGAATAGGAGAGCTTTGAAATTGTGGCACGTTTCAAAATCTTTCACTCTCTTAGAAGAACTTGCAAATGCTTTGAACCTACTCCTTGCTAAGTGACAATACAAAACACCATGAAGAATGAGACTGAAAGAAGGAGGCAAGAGGAGGAGGTGTATTCAACTGTTCTGACCTACTTTCCATTTAGGAAGGATCATCTTTCTCTTCAACTTGCTCTTCCTGAGATACATGATATAGGAAGAAATTCTGCTGGAATACTCTGCACCAGAAAACTAAAGTTTACAGACTCCTGAAACCTGATTCAGCAAGAACATTCAAGATCCTAAGCAAAATCGAAAATTGTTCCTTAACACCTTCCCTCCTCTTCCTGATTCCAAGAACCTCTGACAGACTGCCCTATCACAACCTCCCAACTCATTCAAGAATGCCTCTTCCATAAGGGTCTAAGGTTTCCTTATAAAAAAAATTTCCATTTTCTGAGACAGACAGAATTTGTGTTAATTTCATATGAAAATACCTGTCCCTAAATTGTGAATGACAGGTTAACAGCCATGCATTCCCAAAAAGACAGGTTAACATAATTAGAGAATCTGTGAGAATAATATGAGTGTAAGAAGGGAAATGGAACTTCACCTTTGATACTCCAGGCAAACATGAAATGTCAGATACTTTAAAAAACAACTTCCAAGCCGGGCACCAGTGGCTCACACCCATAATCCTAGCTATGTGAGAGGCTGAGATGGGGGTAATTAAGGCCAGTCCCATCTCCAAACTAACCCAGCAAAATGGACTGGAGGTGTGCCTCAAGTGGTAGAGCACCTGCTTGCAAGCTTGAATCCTGAGTTCAAACCTCAGTCTGACCAAAAAAGAAAAAAAAAAAAAAAAACTTCTAAGATCCATCACTAGATCTAGAAGTTTTCAAAGTATAATCTGCCTTAAACATTAGGGAGATGAATTACAAAGAATCTGAGAGTCCAGTAAGAACTTAAACATGTTTGTTGTTGTTGTTTTCAATACTGAGTTTTAAACTCAGGGCCTCACACTTGCTACCACTTAAGCAACTCTGCCAGCCCTATATGTGTTGTTTTTAAATGTCAATCTAAAACTAAGACTGCCATATTCATTTTGGTGATCCAGTTTTGGTTTTCCATCATGCTAAAACCAAATAACCACTTTTTCCTTGTAAAAATTTCTTAAAAATTGCTTTTTGAAGTAAGTGTATACATGATTACACTACTTTTAATGCAGTACTTTTTAAACTGAACTTTGTGACTGTACTCTTTAGATATATAAGGACTTTCTTCCTTAAAAGACATCCTTGGGGCTGGGGGCATGGCTCAAGAGGTAGAATGCTAGTCTAAGGCCAAGTTCAAACCCCAGTACCACCACCAAAAAAAAAAAAGGCTGGTGTGTGTGTGTGTGTGTGTGTGTGTGTGTGTGTGTTTACACAAAAGTCCTTCCCTACCATTTGTCCTTGCCGACCATTTGATACCGCAACTAAAACCAAATCATGCTGAGTTGTTTGATTGGTTCCAGTATCGGTAACTTGGACTACAGAATTAAACATGGTAAGAATCTTGCCCTCAAGAAGCTAATTATCTACCCAATGAAGAGCTTTGCAAGTTTCTTAAATCAGCATAGCAATGTTACCAAAAGCACACTTAAGAAAATGTTAAGACAAAGAAAACAAGTGTGATGGAATTGTAATCTATGTTAAAGAAACACCACCCCCTCTTGCTGCCTCAAATCTCAAGCCCAAATAACCATGTTCCTCACATTTTGCCTAAGATTTTTCCAGATGCCTAGAGCTTAATGAATACTCACCTTTAATACTTAAGTTTAAATGTCAAGAAGTTTTCCCTAATCCCCAAGATGAGGTAAGGCCATCTTTATATGTCCTCAGAGTACTCTATTCCTTTACAACATTTACCATAACTGTATTTACTTTTAAATAGCTTTATGTACTAATTTGTCTTCCCCACTAGGCTTGGTAGCTACACTCTATCCCAAAGCTTATCACAATGCCTAGAACAAAGCAGACACATAGTATTTGTTGAATAAATGCATATGAAACCATAGTTTCTAGCTTTTCTGGCAAGTCCAAACATCAGATTTTAATTTAATGTCCACCATTGTGGGGTCTGGAAAACAGGATCATGAAAACAGGATATTCAAGTTATACAAAGAAATGCCTTCAGTATCCCTACTTTAGCCAACATTTTTCAAAGGTGTACAGTTGGAATTAGAAAAAACTAGACCACATTGTTGGACATCACAATTTTTTTTTCATTGCTAGGATTTAACTCAGGGCCTACATCTTGAGCCACTACACCAGCCCTTTTTTGTGATAAGTTTTTTTTCGAGATAGGGTCTCTTGAACAATTTGCCAGGGCTGGCTTCTAACCAAGATCCTCCTGATCAATGCCTCCTGAGTAGCTAGGATTTTAAGAGTGAGCCACAAAGTGATTTCTTTAAAAAAAAAAAAAAAAAATCCAACACTAGGGAGGATATATCTCATAATGAATAAAAATCATTTTAATGTATTTAGATGAATGGAAAATTCACTACATGAAGTCCTAATTTTTTATAGACCACTAAAAACTTCTTTGCAGATAGGTATTTAGAAATTAATGATCAGTCATATAGCAGCCTCCCTAGCTAGTTAAAATTTGGTCTTCTGAGAAAAAAATAACATGACAGGCCTAAGATGGAGTATGTCACCTTGCCAAGAAGTCAAGAGTCAGCTTCTTCTCATAAATAACAATACAGGACAAGAGACTCTTAAACCAGGAAATACCCCAATCCAGACCAAAGGACAGCTGTAAGATTAAAAAACTACTTTGAGTATTGAGAGGGAGACACACTCAAAACAGGATGGAGCCTTTAAAATAGGGCAAGATCCTAGAACTTTGTTAAAGCTACAGAAAAACGTAGTAAAACGAAGGTCAGAGTGAAGCATCCACCCAATGAATCACCACATACCTGAGAAAAACTGGAACACTTGGCATAAAGGAAGAGGCAAGTCAAGCTACTTAGTTCAAGCTGTGCTCTAGACATATCCAACATAAGGGAAAAACTTGTTTTGTCTGAAGAGTAAACCAAGTTGGAGTTTAAATATCACCTAAAATAAACATCAAGAGGATTTTATAACCTTTACCTTGAGTAAAATTGTTAGCTGTTATCTAACCACTGGAGGGCAGGGAATAACTGGGAAAAAACAGAAAAGCTGTATTGAAATAGAGACTATAAAGATTATTCAAACAACTGAGAAATGCAGTGCATAATGCAAATTATCTGCATATAGATTTTAAATTGTAAGTATTACACACAGCCAACATTTTTCATTGTTCATTTCCAGGTTATCTATCCTTGTTAGCATAAGATACTTAAGTATTTGTGAAGCACTACCTATGTGTGAGGCACCAACCCACATTTAAATGAATAAATAAAAAGTCCCCTCAAGAAATGTAGATTCTGGATCAAAAGATGGGCAATGAAAGTGCACAACTGCAGTTGCAGTGCACAAAAGGGCTTTTGTGAACACACACAGGGCCAAGATCTAGAAAGGCTATAAAGAAGAAAGGACCTTTCAGTGTGGTCTTGAAAAGAAAGAAAATTAATCAAAGAGAAAGACAGGATGGATATTGTGGGCATCAGCTATGAAGTCGTTCAACAGACAACAACAGTAAGTTATCCAGAATTTGGAGATAGGGCTGCATTTATAAGAATAACACGCCTAATCAGAGATCAACACAACAGGTAAGATTAATCCCAGGTAAGATGAGGAAGCTCATTTTACAGGGAAATATACTACAATATTATAGTAAGCAATAATACAGGCTAGCTCCCTATGAAATGGACCTAGACACCTGGATAGTAATATCCAGTACACAAGTCCATGATGCTCATGATATACAATCACTAATTCAAACATTTAGATACCTACTGTCAAGTATTTATAATAGGTATAGAAAGGAAAAAACAACCTTCAGAGGCACAGTGGAAGAAGGAAGTGTCACTGAGGATAAACTAGGGTTAGGGTTAAAAGAATGTCTACAAGATGACAAAGACAAGGGAGGGAAAGGCACATGGGGTACAAGGAACAGCTTATACGAAAGCACATGCTATAAAAGAACAGAGTATTCTTGAATTCCTTGAGTATGTATGTACAGACCCTGTGCCACTAAGACATGAGTCCTGCCTCAAGAGCTCGTGCAGATAACTCAATGATAACAGCAAAGAATAAAGAGTAATGTTGGCTCTCTGTTCAGGATGGAATGGCCCACATGAGAGGTCACAGAATTCCCACAGCAAGTGAAAACTTACTTCTAGACACTGGTTAAGATGGTACAAGGCCAGACTCCAGTGGCCCACACCTGTAATCCTAGCAATTTGGGAGTCTGAGATTGGGAGGATTGCAGTTCAAGTCTAGTCCAGGCAACCAAGGCAAATAGTTCTGTTCTGTTCTTCTGAGCTCTTACCAAAATGTATAATTATTTATTATTATTTAACTTCTGTCTCCTCCAAAGGAAATGTTAAAATTTACAGAGCATGTTATTTCATTCAATCTAATAACCAGTAAAGTAGCACTACTATTCTCCTTATTTTACATATGATGAACCTGAGGTATAGAGAGGTTAATTTGCTCAAGGTCACAAAACAGTAGGGAGTTGAAATCAGAACCCCTTCAGACTGCTTCCAAAGTTCATGCTTTTAATTATTATCCTGTAAGTTGAGAAAACAGGAGTAACCATATATGTTTGGTACATTACTATATACTCAG